TAAACTTGAATTTAAACATGAAAAATATTCTTCTTAATTAGCAGGCAGGGCAGGACGAGTTACGATAAAAAGCAGGGCAGGGTAGGGCAATAAAATTGGCCCTGTGGACACCTCTGGTAAGAATAACTGATATTTTTTGATCAACTATTTTTTCAGCCTAGGTGAAATTTATATTATCTTATTCAGGACAAGGGGAAAATACAGATACTTGCTGAATATTTTGCTGCGTGTTTTAAAAAGTAATTATACATATTAGGTAAAAAACGCAAACGTTTAAGTGGTGGTGGTGTAAAACTTGAGTTCGTTGACCTTGATCATCGATTATTATTATAGTTTCGAGAGAAACGGACATTTATTGATCCAAAAGCTGTTGCTACAACTGATACAACAACAATAAGACGTGAAAAGGTAACATTTCGTCAATTAGAACGGCAAGGCAAATTATTAAGTATGGAATTAAAACATGCTTGTCCAAGTACGAAATGGTTTGGGAAATTCATGCGCCGCCATCGTTTATCGCTTCAAAAACCGAAAATAAATCAAAAAGCTTCATTGCCCGATGCGTATCCACTTATAAACAATTTCTATGACTATATTCGTCGAGCAAGTCAATGGGCACCAAGCCGTGGACCTATGGGAGCATTCCTTCCACGAGATGTATGCAACATGGACGAAAGTTCATTAAGTTTATTTGGAGATCAATCGATATTATCGATAAATGATGTCAATACATCGAATAATATTGAAGGTTGTATTAGTAATAAAAAAATACGCTTTTATTAGGAAAATCATATTAGAAGGTCATCTACAATAGGAGGCCATGACCTTTTATTCTGGGGAGGGGGGGGGGTACATTTTACCTGAAACGAGAGTATCGCTTTCAATGAGCCAGCTGACAAAATGTTTGATTGTGTTAGGATTGGCACGCTGCCGAATATCTGATTCTTTTTCTGCTTTTAGCATGTACTCGTTGTCGTCATGCATTTGATGAGCAGTTTTGATTGCATGTTGGGAGCATCCAAATTTTGCCATCACGTCTTCGTAGCACCATAACCTGGGTAGTAGTGAGAAGCCAAACTTGATCCGCAAAAGGCATTCTTTGCTCGACGTACATATCATAAATCTCTTTCACATTTTGAACTACTTCGTTATTGATGGGTGAATTAATCATTTGATTTTTCTTGACATCTATTTCGAGTCCAGTCAAAAGGAGCAATTCCTTGCCTTGACCTGGCGCGGGTGTTTCAGCTAACTTTTCTAGAATTCAAATATTATAAATCAACGGAGTATTTAATTTTTCCAGAATAAACCTTGCAAACTATGTGCTCCTCGACTCAGCTTGGAAAGCAAGCGGCGGATACCACTTTTTGATTGACGCTGTAGCGCCATTCTTGTTTGAGATCGAAGTTGGCTTAGATTTGCCTCAGCTAAGATTCGATTCATTGTATCTCGAGTATCTTCGATGAAACATGGGGCGCTATTCGTAAATTGAGACTGACAAGTAATTGATTCAGAATCTGGAGGCACCGATATAAATTTTGTGCTTTGAGCACAATCTAAAATTGGAATGTATTAGTTTAAATGGCTCATTAAATGGGGGAGAAAGATCACACCTGATGCCGATTCGGATTCCTTCTATCCTTGAACACATAGAGAACTAAGCCCGACGGCAACCAGAAGTTGGTGGACGATATTTGGAATTATGATCCGGGTGATTGAATCTTGGAATAGCGTCGCGCCAGTCGATTCCAAAAAAACTGCGATGCTTCGGACAAATTGACATGGAATCGTCAATAAGAATATTCTTGAGTAGTAATCGGTTCTCAGTCAACTCTTCTCGTTAATTATCATGTTGTCATCTTCTACTGTGTTAATAACACGAACATCTTTAAGATGTGGTCGAATGTCTCGTTCAGCTAAGTAAGCAAATGTATAGCATTGTCGCTTCCAGTCAAAATAATCTAGTTAGAGACTGTAATTATATAAGATAATTTAGGTGATAAGAATTTCGTACGATATGGTGACGTTCTGCATGTAGCCACTGTCTCATTACTCCAGAGGCAGCTTTTGGTCATAATTAACGGGAACCAAAGCCGGTTTAGAATGAAAGCTTATGCTTTCTTTTTCAGTGTTCTCGATAAGTATCTTTTCTGAAAATAGACATAGTTTTCACATGAAAAATCTGAAACGCAAACCAACTAACCTGGAAATTTGTCTCTTCGATGCTCGTCTTCATTGACAACAATTAATGATATATATGGTGTGAACATAGGCCCAGGCTCGATGTACGAACTGGCACCAAAATAATTATCAGTAACGTCCTTAGATAAATTATTGTTCTCAATGAAACCATATCCGACAGCAAGAGAATCATTGAAAGACGATATAGTAGAGGCAGAACCTACATAGCTTTGTCGCTCAACTTGACTATTCGCACTATTCAAATTGGCAGTTGACTGGCATACACTTTTCATTAACTGATTAGAATTTCTAATTCTTATTGTTCGACCACTCACGGAGTTTGCACCGTCTCTCGATTGATTTTCAAGCGTATTTGATGCTGACGGAGCCCACGGACATATTCGAGTAACTAGTGTGTTTCGCTGATGTATTCGAAATACTAGGAGCAAATATTCGCGAGGCTCCATCGCTATTAATCGTTGAATCACTACCTACTCTTGAAAGCGGGTAAGTTGGTACGCCACGACCAGGACGATAGTATTGATCAGTCATTTTACACGAAAAAGTTATTTTTCATAGCGATTTGTTTCTTTCCATCAATCTTTTTCGTTACCTTTCTTTCGTCCTTGATTTCGTCGCACTTCATTAACTTTATTTTTTATCGACCAGATCATTTATTGTGAGAAATAGAGAGAAAAAATAAAGGTCATTTCTCCTCCCAGCAATGCTCCGTTCAATAATGTCTCTCCCTTGAGTATGACACAATCCAATATGCCCATCACTGTCTACTGTGTGAATCATTCTCGTGATCAAGTTGAACATACATATAATATAAACTCACATTGTCAGTTATAATGTTTATTCAATAAAGATTATCTAGAATTCAACTGCCCATAATAAAGTGGACTCTAACTTAGAGTGACAATTACATATGTGTCCCTGATCATTTTATCGCATACCGGATTCCATTCAGTCGAACACATTTTTCGAACACTATATATTTCAATACTAATTTCTGACACAATAGGTGTACCGTTAATATTATCTGCATTGAATAATGTAGAATGTATTAGCCGATCTAGAAACATTAACTTTGAACTGAACGCTTCTTGCTACGTTCAGTTCATAAATAGCTTGTACTCGTGCTGATTTCGATAAACAATGGGTACCAGCAGTATTATGGAAGCTAAAAAGCGATCCCACTTCTACCATAGATTAATGAGTCTAATAATGGTTGAAATAGAAAAATATTCTATCTCTTCCAAAACAATATACATTTTCAAGATATAAATTTTTTAATGCCACCTCCCAGCCCCACCCAGAATATTAACGCCATCATCCTCTCCATGAAAAATTCCTTACATGTCCCAAATATATCATGTTTTTTAGTTTGCGAAGCTCAGCTTGAAAAACGCAGGTAACCTGTGCAGGACTCTCAGTACGTCTCATGTGACCATGGCTCCCACAGAAATCCCACGCTACTCTTTGCAGAATCCAATAGAACAAAGTCAGGCTTATCAGGACCAAGAATAAAAATCGTTAAAAAACATATAGTTTATGAGATCGCCACCGCCTAAAAATGCTAATTTTTTCAAGGTTCGCCTGAACGACGGTTTTGTGTTGGGAAGCTAAAAGTTTCACTAGAATGAAGCAGGAGTAATGACTTTCTATAAATCAAATTTTAGCACTACACTATGTTTTGGCCACTAAATACTGGACCATGAAAATTGATAAAATGATCATTTTTTGCTTATATGCAAGTGCATACAGAAAAATTAAAATACAACCGTTTCACTTCAAATTTTTTATGGTAAGAGCATTGCCCATTGTAAGTATTGACACGAAATATCAGCTCAATCGATTCACTTGTTCTCGAGATATAGTCATAATACTGAACGGATTCGTTTAAATTTTGAATTTCAGCTCTTTTTTTGTCCAAAAATTTAATTTAAATTTAACTTGATAGAATTCAATTTAAAATTAAATTAACTTTTCGCAAAGTTAAATTTAAATAAAATAAATTGTAAATTGACGCCCCTACCGACCGGCACTAACAGCAAGAGACTGAAATCGATCCAAACAGACTTCAAACTACTGCTTAAAAACGTGAAGTAGAACTGAAACGAACCAAAACTAATTGTTTTTTAAGTAGGAGAATGTAAAGCGATCGTTACAGAAACAGGATTGATTGAAATAGCATCTGTTCTTAAAAGTTACAATTATGTAGAAAATGATCAGACACCG